CGAACGGAGTTTTTTTTTGCACTCCTTCGCAGTACTTTATGATTGCACCTCGGTAGCTTGAAAATCTCTCTTTAATATCTTTGGTGGCACAGTCATCTTCCATTATTCTGCAGAACTCATGGCGTAGCTAAAACTGGATTTGAAATAATAAACTGTAAGTAACAACTAGTTTAATATAACGGCAGCCAAATAGATGTCATGTACTATAGTGTATAATTTCATCGGTAAATGGGAGCCAAAAGCTGACTTCTAGGTCCACCTTAAAAGAAACTTAACGAAATACCATGCAGGTTTTTTTCACGATCCAGGGAGAGATAAAACTAGAACATCCTTTTTCAACACATCCCAGTGAAAAAATATTTCATTTTGACTAATAAGAGCAGCTTCTAATGGAAAGTAGCTTAGCACAAAAACTAGGCTTGTGGGTCATGACCATTTGGCCACGTTACAGCCGTTTTCCACATTAATTTGTAAAAATTCATGCATGTGTGTTAGAAGGATATTCTGCTTCTCTTCCCATACGCAGCACAAGAGAAAAAACTGAAAATCCATTCAAATTTAAGGTGGTGCTATGTAGAAAACTGCTTTTTTGGCCGACATCTTTACAAAAAAACAGGTCCATAATATGCATTACCCTGTTAACACTTGCAAGAGGAGGGTATTTCTTGATTATTTCTTCAACTGGTACGGTGGTCGTTAATATTTCCTTCCTTCGTAAGTCATATGTCACATTCATCAGCTCTTTTATCTTGTCCTTATCTTGAGCCATTCGTGGTTTTGGCATTCCTTCTGCATCTCTGCAAGGTGGTCGTTCTGAATGCTTTCTGTGCCAACAGGATTTGGTATAATATTCCAGAAATCCATCTTTCTAGGTTTACTTGGATTGGATGCATGTACCGAAGTGTCTCGTGTTTCTGAATCACCGTCATTCATTGCTGAATTCTTTCTTTTTTTGCTTGCGTACTTTCGTACATGCTTAAATCTGTTTTTAATTGATTCCGACCAAGAACCCTGTAAAAAATGTTACAATGTAAATTAAAGGGCATATGACGCTAAATTGTTTATTGTCGCATTTGCAAGAACTTTTAAAATTGTAACTTAACTTCTTTTACACATTTTTGTTTCCGTTTTGGAGATATTTCGTTTTGTTGAATATGCAAAGTACCCACTTTCTACGTCACTTATGCATAATTAGTTAGCATAAAAACGTTTATTATCACCGCTCTTATTAACCAACAATACTGAAAAAGAAGGATATGCGAAGTTTACACAAAGCTTGTGCATATCATTCTTTTAAAACAATCTCTGTTGCTGTAAGGTTGAAACCATGCAACATTTTATTTAACTAATTATGCATATGTGACGTAGAAAGTGGGTACTTTGCATATTCAACAAAACGAAATATCTCCAAAACGAAGAACGGAAACAAAAAAAAAGTTAAGTTACAATTTTAAAAGTTCTTGCAAATGCGACATTAAAAATTTTGGCGTCATATGCCCTTTAATACTATAAAACATCTGCAATATTTTTACCGTCTAATTAGATGTATTTGTTTGGCTTCATTGCGCGACAGTTGTTTCGGCTTTTCTTCTTACTGTATTTTTAAGACTAACCTAGCTAGCTATATCAAGGCTTAGCCATTCATCCACGACTCGAACAACTTGTTAATAAGCAATAGTGATCATACTTTCATCTAGTGGTTGTAGGCGTATACTTACCAGGCCACTGCCAATAGAATCTTTAAGATGGGGATATTTTGTAACGATTGCTAATGCTACTTGATTTCTTTCTGCTTTATTCAAAAAGCATACACCACTTGAAGATATATCCGTGCATAGATCTCTTATAAATTCGCTCCTCTGCGTTTGACTCAGGCAGTTATGCTCCAACGCATTCGTAACAGCAGGGGAAAACTGGCGAAAAAGATAAATTTAATGGGTACAATAGCAAATAAGTGCTATTTTCACATTAACATTGAAACTTTTATACCCAAGAGCGCCTGTATACTGTGGTATTGGGGGCAATGAACGGGATAATTACTGACTATACTGCACCTTATCAAGAAGTTTATAGTCCTTAAACAACATTCTGTTCTTTTTTTCTGTATATACGAAAGGTGATCGCAAGGTGCTTTTAGGTGTAACAGGCGTATCCGAACTGGTTTTTGTTTCATCCACCTCCATGCTTGTAGTAAATTTGTTTAATCCATCCTTAAAAAGATATTTAATGTATACTTAAATATTTATGATATACCGTAAACCTCCGACTATAAGCCCTGAGCTTATATTCTTTCGTTATCAATTTTTGCCGATGGGTTTATACAGGGGGGGGGGGCTTATGTACGGGGGAGCTTATACATGGACGACTTTGGTGTTAGTACAATAAACAAGCCACATGAAGCCAGTCATAAAGAGAAAAACGAACATGTATTAAAAACGCGCTTAAGCCTGGTTTCCATATGGTCATAAACGTGTCGTAACCTCGTAGAGATAGGCTTGCAGTCTATCTCCACGACAGTTACGACACGCTTACCCCACACGTTTTACGTCCATATGGAAACCAGGCTTCATGCTATATTAAAACTAAAACTAAAAGACAATGTGTTGTCTGTTGTCTATTCCGTTCTGTAAAATTACTGTTCATTAATGCTTTAAAGTGCAATAATGTAGTGGGCTACTATAACTTAAGCTCATATTAGGGAACTCAGTATTTGGAATGAAGTGTGTGTTAGTACATGAGGTGGGCTTATACAATTTGTCCCAGCAGTGGGGCCACACAAGCCAAATAGCAAATCCGCGATCTTTAATTAAGCCCGTTTTCCACTCAAGCATTTTGCCGCCGTTAGCGAAAAGCAGTCGACAAATAAATATATTTTTCTACTCATTCATCGCTGGAGAAATTATTCTTGCTATCCCAGTAGTTGAAAATGCTCAACTTCTGTTGAAAGAACAATTAACTACAGCGAAAGAACAGCTAAAGGCGGATTTCCACTTGGAATTTTCGAGCGAAAAAAAATCGCGAGAAAAAGATTTCGAGCGATAATTTTCTTTGTTGAATTTCCACTTGTTTTCTTGTCTGCTTTTTCGCACTGAGCTAGGAAAGGATTGGGAGGGATATGAAGGGACAAAAAAGCGCAGTTAAAAAACATGGCCGCTCTAAACAGGAGACAGATTCTTCTGTTGCTACTTTTGCGTAGGAGAAATAAACGAAAAAAATACAGAAAAAGATTCTGGATACGAAAGATATTTGCAGAAAGGAAACTTAAAGGAGAATTTCATTGCTTAGTGCAAGAAATGAAGTTAGTTGATCATGAATTATTCTTCAAACACTTTCGAATGTTGCCCAGTAAACTGGAAGAATTATTACAATGGATAGCACCAAAATTAACAAAGTCTGCGGTTAAACGAGAGCCAATCGGTCCAGAAGAGAGACTATGTGTCACCTTAAGATATATCGTAACTGGAGATTCGCAAGTAACCATTTCTGGAAGCTATCGGTTAAGTCAAGCAACAGTCGGTCGTATTGTCAAAGAAACGTCTGATGCTATCTGGGATACACTGGTGGAGAAAGGTTTTTTATCCGCTCCAACTCGAAAAGACCAGTGGAGAAAAGTAGCTCGTGGTTTTGAAGAAAAGTGGAATTTTCCCCATTGTTTAGGAGCAATCGACGGGAAGCATGTGGTTATACAGGCTCCGGCAAATAGTGGATCAATGTTCTTCAATTATAAGAAATCGTTTAGCATCGTTTTATTGGCTGTGTGCAACAGTAATTATGAATATATTATGGTTGACATTGGAGAATCAGGGAGACAAAGTGATGGAGGAACATTTGCTAATAGTAACATTGGGCATGTCATCACCAATGAATCCTGTGACATTCCGGAGCCATGTAAACTAGACCGATCAACGTTTATAGCCCCGTATGTTTTTGTTGCTGATGATGCATTTCCTTTGCGTGTTAACATTATCAAACCATATTCCCATGATAATCTCAGTCTGAATGAAATAGTTGCAAATTACAGAATATGCCGGGCACGAAGAACAATTGAAAATACATTTGGGATTATGGCTGCAAGGTTTCGTATATTTCGTCGTCCTATTGTTGCAAAAGTATCAACAGTAGAATCCATCACAAAAGCTTGTGTAGCAATGCACAACTACCTTATAAAAGATCGTTTTAGTGATGGAGCTAGTCGATACTGCCCTGCCAGATTCATTGACCAAGAAGTTCACAATAGACAGAGAGACGGTCTGTGGAGAACAGTAGTGCAAGCTGATACAGGGCTTCAAGCTGTCGGACGTATGGGATCCAATAACTATAGTGGAAATGCAAAGCTAGTGCGAGATAATTTTCGAGATTATTTTGTCTCACCTGATGGAGCAGTTCCGTGGCAAAGAGAAATGATCGCACTGCAGTGTAGCAGAGAATAAACAGCCAAATTATTGAACAAATGAAGTTGGCTCTCAGGAGCAAGGAGTTAAAACAAGGCCAGAAACTACTGTATTCATTTTTTTATTAATGTTGTTTAAAAACTTAAACATCATTGTTTTAATAAAAATGAACATCACTTTGACCAGAATGTTTGTACATTACAAAGAAGGTGTACCTTTAAAAAATGAGTTCAAACAAGACCAGAAAAATTTTTATTGCCCCTCAGTAGCATGTTAAAATGGTGTAAGGAAATGAGTTCAAACAATGCCAGAAATTACTGTAATTATTATTAAGATGTTTAAAAACTTAAAAATTATCATTGTTTTGATAAAAAAATAAAAACATCACTTTGGCCAGAATGTTTAAGCACACACAAAAGGAGTTTTAAGAAATTGTATGAACACAGAGTAAACCAAACCTTTCATAACAATACCTGTTGCATACAGTATATTTTTTAAAACAACACAATGTCAAGTTACAATGGCATTTAGCCCTAGCCCCAAGGTAGGTAAATTAGAACAATAACAAAAACTGTTTGATAAAAATGTATGAGTTTTAGCAATTGTCCACTAGTCATCCATAGCTTCATAAACTAGTGACATTATTTTGCTTTTTATCATTAGGTTTTTCTTTTGTGGTAAGCTCTTTATAGCTTCAACCAAACTTAGGCAAAAATGAGTATCAGCATCATCACCTTTATTAGATGCTTTATCCTCGTTTGTAAGAGCATTGATCAACAGTTTGTCAACAGGATCAATTTCTTTCTTTGGACGCTTAACAGGACAGGTTGGTATTTGAGCAGCTGCAGTTGATGCTCTGGTGGTGGAACTTGATGGTAACACTTCCAATACATCGGATGCTTTATCTTGTTGAGCCACAGCGATATTGCTGGTTGTGGTACGAGTGGACACAATATCTTGTAAAAAGTGCAACTCATTATAGTACCGACAAGTGGGATTCTTTGTATAACCAGAACCAGACTTTTCCTGTTCTCGCTCTCTTTCTTTGCATTTTTTATAACTGTCATACAAGTTTTTCCACTTCTTTTTTGCTTCTTCAACTGCAACAAAAATTTTTAAAATTGTATTTTCTGAGACATAATTACTCTATGATCCCTCCTGTTTAATGTTTATAACTGCCACTAGGTGAAGCAAAAAATGTATTTTATTGCATCATACTCAGTTTGTGTCTCCAACTATCTCAAGCCAGGAAATTGGAAAAACAGTGCATTTTCAAGACAGTAATTAATATTAACAGCCATGGGTTTGTATTACAAAAATGTCTTTAAGACCACAAAATCCTCACAGAATTATAACTGGAGTAGTACACTAAAAACTATAATTGTAAAATGTAGAGGTATCAGCCATATAATTCCCATACAATTTATTATATGAAAGTCGTACTATTATATACCTGCCTGAGGGTTTAAGTTTTGATAATTATCAAATGGAAACATGCATGGACAGCAGTACAAACCACCTTCATGTGATCTTCTTTGGGAAAATATACATGGATTATGTGGACATTAGTATATAAATAAACACACTTGCTAGTTGCTACTGATGTTTACCTATATGTTTTGGAGGTTTAAAACGTCCCATAATTATAACTTTTATCATATGCAAACAAATAGCACATTTTTTCCATAAACATTTTTCAATTTATTAATTTTGGAAATATGAGTTTCTAAAGTAAGGGTCATTTTTGTATAGGAATTTGGATTAGCTTAAATGTTTATAAATTAACACCAATTATATTAATTTTAGCGGGCCTTGCCATGTACTAGCTTGCGCTAAAATGATTTTATTACAATATTTTTAATACAAAAATTACCCTTATTATAATAGTAATAATATATATTTATACCCACGAACCTCAACATTATTGTTAAAATTTAGTTTATAGAAATTGTGCTGTAAACCAATCATTTGGTCTGCAGCAATGTACAAGAAAGATCATACAAGAATAACTATACAAGAAAACTGACGTACCACCAATCTGCAACTTCATGGCTATCTTTTCCCAAATCAGTTTTTTCTTTTGTGCTTCTTTGTATGCGGGCGACTTTTTATTCCAAATGCCTGGATAAACTTGTACTTCGGCCATTAAAAGCTGCAATAAATCTCTTGTTTCATCGATGCTTTCATGTTCGCTGAAATTTTCCGCTTCCACTCGCTCCTCATCCGACGCCATGATGAAACATATGTTGACTTTTTCGCAATTTCGCTTTTCAAAGTTGAAACATTCTCAACTACATTTTTCAGCGAAAAGAAAATTTTTTTTTCGCAAGAAAAGGCTCGGTAAAAAACTGCGCATGCGCCATATCGAATTTCGCGCGAAAAATTTCGCATTTTGGGTAAGTGGAAATCCGCCTTAAGTATAACAGTTTTCGCTTGCGAAAGTTTTCGCCAGTGGAGGCGAAATGCTTGAGTGGAAAACGGGCTTTACTGATTCGCTTTGACTGAGAAAGCATTTATAGGCGAGAGCCTGGTGAGAGCCAGTGTTAAGTCTCGTAAAAGTATGCATGAACATCGCTTTAACTCTTATAAAGTATTACGTACCCCTCCTGGTGTCTCTTTTCCAGTCTGTGTTCGATTGTCCATCTGGTCGGCGACACAGGTTGCACCCTATATGAATATCTCCACCATTTGCTTATAGATACAATAAGTATTTAATTTAGGGACAGATCACAGTGCAAAAATTGCCGAAGAGTAAACCCTAGGGGAGCTAAACTAGTTTTTCAAAAAATCTCGAGTGCGACGTTGCCCAACTCCAAAGTCTGGACTTGCAGCCGCTGCTTATATCAAGAAGGGCTGAGACATTTGTATATATTGCTGTTTTATTGGGTGAGTCAGACCAGATGCTATCAAAACATTTCAGGGATTATTAGTGAATCTCATTTTTGTCATGGGGTTTGGCTCTTCACTTGAGATATCGTTTCTGGTCTCTCTTAGACATTCCTGTCAATATTGGTAATTAAAGGATAATTAGTATTTATAACATCACATGCTTGTATAGATGTTTTTCATAAAGGTGGCTGTCCCAAAACTGTTTACTACTTCGAGCCACCTTAAATTGAATCGATTTCTAGGTTTTTTTCTGACAGGCTATGGGAAGGGAGGCAGAACGTCCTACTTCAAAATATGCGTGAAAAAATAATTTAATTATGACCAACAAAGCTATATCCTACGTGAAAATAAGCTTAGCATGAAAACGAGGCATGACCCACGAGCCTTGCTTTCATGTTCAAGCTTTTTCACGTACGTGTTGAAGAAAGATGTTCTGCTTCTCTTCCTATTGCCTGTCGGAAAAAAAACTGAAAATCGATTCAATTTTGGTTCGATATGGAGTTTTTGCCGGCATACCTGAAAATTAAATAGTGAGTTCAGATCACAAATCATTGTTTTATTACATAATTCTTAAACATAAATTTCACCCCACTAATCACTATGAAAAGCTATTTTCAAATAGGATCAAAATATGAAGTTATAATTTCTGGACAACAGAGCAAGCCACGCCGCCAAAAATGGAGGACATGTTAAAATTCAGCTAATGTCCAACAGCATTTCTGCTTGAACCCATCCACTTTTAGCCGTAGTTCATACAGGTCTCAGTGTTTTTAGTTGATAAGTACACCTTGCATATCTTTTTAACTGTCAGAGCATCTCCTGCCTTTACCCCGCACAAAAAAAGTACACTGATGTCCACTTCGTTCAAGAAATGGCAATCAGTTAGCCAGAGTACAGAAGCGGGAAACGAAAGTCAAAAGACTGACTTTATTTTATATAGGCCTAGATCCAATTTTTTGTATTAGCAAAGTCAAAATATGTATTATAGGTAAAATGTAGTTTGAATAGTACTCGCAAATTAAGATATTTATAAAGTACTTGTAGGCAGGACAGGAAAGCCTATAGTTTAAAGAAACAAAATGGCTCTCCTGCAAAGGATGCAATTACCTTGTGATTTTCTAAAATGGCGAGTGTAGTTTCTTCGATGCCACCAAATATAAGCTTTTCTCGCAATTCTTCTTCCATCCTACGTTGCAAATACAATTCACAGATAAATAGGAAAGTGAAATGCTCTTTAAACCTGAAGTTTGAATATTAGCTAGGTCAAAAAAGTTTCTTTTTTCAGTAAAGTAAAAGTGCGAGACCTGAGCACAAAACAGACAACCTGAAAAAAACGTAAATAAAGATTCTAGATGTTTTATCATAAATAAACAAACTAAAATATATATTATGTAAATGTTTATATAACATTTGTCACAAAATATACCTATATTACGGTATTTTACCTTTTAAAATTATTCTTTTTTGGTTGTGAGTATCGTTGACAAAGCACTTCGCTCGGGAAACCAGCAAAAAAGACAGCACAATGATAGGGGCGTCCTCGATGAAGGACAAACAAAGGGTTCTGACCTTACATGGACTGGTTGGCAAGAAAGAATTAAAACGTACACTAAAAAGCCCCTACGTATCCCACACTTTCCCCTGTTTTAAAAGGGAATTTCCCCTCTTGCACCCAAGTCCAAGTTCCTACATTTAATAATATTTCGGCACTGACCAGGTTGATTTTTCGTCCTTTTAAACGGACCAATTATGCCTTGGCAATGCAGCATTTGTGGAGTATTTTCTGCAGAAACTCGCAATCAACTATTAAACCACATAGGAAGATGCCACAGGAATGACCCCAACTTCCATTGCTTGTGTGGCGTAGATGGTTGTACCCGAACATTCCGAAAATATTATTCATGAAGAAAGCATTTACAACAAAAGCACCCCGAGTTACCAACACAAGATGATGGTCCAATAGTTAATATGGATCATGATAACTTCATCAACCAAAATGGGGAGCAATTGATTGAAAATATGGAGGACCCTACCAGGTCGGCTGCTTTGTACATATTGAAACTACAAGAGGAATGCTCTCTACCCAAGTCCACCGTTGCTGGAATTGTATCCAACACGAAAACTATTCTACAAGAAACATTGGCACATGTCCAAACGCAAGTGCAAGGTTGCCTAAGCAATGCAAACATTGACGATCAAAACGTGCCCGGCCTGCGAGAGATTTTTAAAGACAATATAACAACAAACCCATTTCACAACTTGGAAACCGAAGCACAACAATTTGCCTACTACAAAGCCAGTGGCGGATCTAGGGGTGTGCAGAATAAATTACACAGCTTCATTTTAAATTCAAAACACCTTAATAATAACGCTATTGGCTATAGATTTGAAAAGAATATTTTTACATTAAAACCTACCAATGCGATTGCGATTTTAAGCTGTAGTAATTTATTCTGCACACCCCTAGATCCGCCACTGTACAAAGCTCATTTTGGATTAAAGGTAGCTAGTTTTTTAATTGCTTAAGCCAATAGTCATACTTATCATATTACAAAAATTAGGACTGTTTATATAAAGTATGGAGGTGACAGTCACACCTTTAAGACTTTAACATCCCCCAAACTACTGTATAATGTGTATATAGCTAATTAATGTTTTATAATTTTATTGATAGGAAGCACAAAGAATTGTTCTGGGCGTAGAGAAGTTTTTAAAAGAAGGAAAGGTATAATGCAGCAAACCCAAGTCAATGATGAAGCATATTACATCCCACTCTTGGACAGCCTTCAACAGCTTCTTAATGATGAGTTTATTCTTAAAGAGGTATATTGAACACAATTACAATTTTACATAAATTGATAACGTGATTGAAAAAAGCTGGTCAGCTAAATATTTGCCCATCTTTCTCACTGGGTATATCTTAATATGGCAGCTGCATAGTTCTTTGAAGAATTTAGAAACAATTTACTTATAGTTAATTACAGAGTAGGCTCCTTTTCATAGGAGAAAGCAAATTCAGGGATGTGCTGACTGGGGCTAACATAGGTTGCATAAACAGAATATCGATGTTCAATGTGCTATTAATTTCAAAAAATTGTTTTAGCATTTATGAAATACCTATGTGAAACAAAAGTAGTTCCACCAATACTGAACTGGAATATTTTCTGTTGATCATGTGGTAATGGTCTGAATTAAAAGTATTTGACAGTGCCACATGTTTGGCATGAAACCTACTCAAAGTTTAATATTGAAAGAAATCAAACTATACATTGTGACTTAAGCTTAAGCTTGACCTAAGTAATCTAGGAGAGCCACACATAAAGTAACCTATAGGTTTTATAATTTTTTATTCATAATTATTTTTAGATTAAAAATCCTTATGTGAGCATTGATGGGCTCATGAGAGACTACTGTGATGGCTGTCAATTCAAAATGCATCCTCTCTTTTCGGTAAATCCCACAGCTCTACAGATCATGCTATATTACGATGATCTGGAAACATGTAATCCACTTGGATCAAGAGCAACCATACATAAACTTGGTAAATATTTAATATATGCATTTAACTTGCTAGTAACAGGTTGTAGGCCTAGTGCCTTATTTTTTATGAGGGGAAAACTAAATCTATATTTGCTTAATCTGTGTGAAATTTGGGCAATTTCTAAATCAAGGAGTCTCCCATTGTTATGAGCAGAACCGATGCGCAGATCAGACTGTAGATTACCTTTAATATATTGTCTATTTGAGCAGAAATATATTTCATAGATATTAAATATTTAACATTCCCCCATTTTAATACCCACAAATTCGATTGCCCCCCCCAACAACTGTGTCTCAAGCAAGTATAATTATTATTAATATAATTATTGTGTACTACAAAGGAATTCAAAGTGTTAATTCATTAAAACATATTTTCGATTTATAGGAGCATTCTGCTACACGTTGGGTAATATCAATCCCTTAAATCGTTCATCTATGAAGGCTATTCAGCTTCTCTGTTTGTGTAAAACATCAAATATCAAACAGTATGGTATCGATGCAGTCCTTGGGCCATTCATGGCAGATTTGAAGAAGCTAGAACAGGTAATTACATTATTTCAAAAAAGAACAGATTATCATTGATTACATGTTTATTTGACAAATGAGATCTATGAACTGGGACAAATTTACTTGAACAATTAACAATACAAAATGAGCACAGAGCACCTTTGTCAGTCCTTCGGAAAACACATTTATTTCTCCTCATACAATGTTGATGGTAGTTGAGCTATTGCACACTTTTGTAACAATTGTATTAACAACATTGTAACAAGTGTGTGTGTGTGGGGGGGGATAGTTCACCAT